GTAGTAGTAGTAGTAGTAGTAGTAGTAGTAGTAGTAGTAGTAGTAGTAGTAGTAGTAGTAGTAGTAGTAGTAGTAGTAGTAGTAGTAGTAGTAGTAGTAGTAGTAGTAGTAGTAGTAGTAGTAGTAGTAGTAGTAGTAGTAGTAGTAGTAGTAGTAGTAGTAGTAGTAGTAGTAGTAGTAGTAGTAGTAGTAGTAGTAGTAGTAGTAGTAGTAGTAGTAGTAGTAGTAGTAGTAGTAGTAGTAGTAGTAGTAGTAGTAGTAGTAGTAGTAGTAGTAGTAGTAGTAGTAGTAGTAGTAGTAGTAGTAGTAGTAGTAGTAGTAGTAGTAGTAGTAGTAGTAGTAGTAGTAGTAGTAGTAGTAGTAGTAGTAGTAGTAGTAGTAGTAGTAGTACGTAGTAGTAGTAGTAGTAGTAGTAGTAGTAGTAGTAGTAGTAGTAGTAGTAGTAGTAGTAGTAGTAGTAGTAGTAGTAGTAGTAGTAGTAGTAGTAGTAGTAGTAGTAGTAGTAGTAGTAGTAGTAGTAGTAGTAGTAGTAGTAGTAGTAGTAGTAGTAGTAGTAGTAGTAGTAGTAGTAGTAGTAGTAGCTAACTAACGATAGAAGTAGAAGTAGAAACAGAAGTAGAAGTAGAAGTAGACGTAGTGGGTTGCGGGACTGGCTAGTGCGTAGTCGTGCTCTTGGGTGGTGGGAGTGGCCTTTGAGTCCCCGCCGCCCTTGAGTTGGCTGCGTGCTCGCCACTCTCATAGCCTGTAGGCCCGCCCCGCGTGGGGCAGGCCGACCCGTGGTCGGCTGCCGTTCCACCGCTCCCGAGGCCCCCCCCCCAGGGCTCCACTGTACCCTGCGCTCCTGCTAACGTTGTCGGGTAACCCTCGGGAGCGTGAGCACCCCAAACGGATGAAATCTGGCTACAAGTGCCGAGGCCCAGAGCACGCATCGCGAAGGTGATATTGACATTGGCGCTCGAATGGGGAAGGACAGGACAGGGTCTCCTCCTCCCTCCTCAGTGTCCTCATCTATTTCCTCTTCAGCATCCTCCTCCCGCTGCTCTCAGAAAGTCTTCCTCCACCTCCTCTTCACCTCCTCCCTTACATGTGTGTTAACGGGCTTTCTTACTGTGCGTGTAAATAGGGCCGTGAACAGCCCAAAATCGAGCGTCAATATTTCTATAAAAAAAAATATTGACGCCTGTTTTTGGCCTGGAATCCCCTCGGGCCTTAAAAGATCCGTCTTCACCCTTCATCCCGCCTCCCCCCAACTCCCTCTTCTCTTGTGCATCTCCTCCGCCCCCTCCTGATCGTCCCCCTCCTCCCATCCTAGGACCCCTTGGTTGGAACCCCCATGGAGCGCAACCCCGCGCGTGTCCGACCCTGCCCCATCGAGTCTCACGCCAAAAGATCATACCCACTTTGTTTTTGTTGAGGAGGAAACCCGACAATGTCAGTTGCATAGGAATAAGTCCTAACGCGACGCCGTTCAGTTTGGACGTTTCGAATCGCATCAGTAGCCATATGGTTCGAGCATCCGCCGAGGTTTCCCACATATGCCCAAGGCCGTCGCGATCCACCTTGATGAAGACACGCTGATTGCGAGCTTGGCGGAGCTCCCGCCGACGGCGCTCAAGAAAGGCTTCGTCGAGTACCCGTCGGCCAACTTCAAGCTCGCGCCGCGTTGGGAGTCGATGAAGCCCTACCAGGACTTCCTCAAGGCGATCCTGATCGCCACGGATGGCCGCCCTCGCATTCTACACGGCTCGTTCTTCAAGGGCGTATTGGCATGGTCTAAGAAGGAGGGCCTCGAGACCAGCGACGACGTCCTGGAACGCTGGTGCTACCTGCTGAGGGCTATGTTGAGTCAGATGGCAAACCACAAATCGAAGGGCCGTGGGGTGCCTGTTCGTTTCAGGAGGTACGTCCAGCCTTTGTTCAACATGATTGTGGTCGGCCGCGCGCCTCTGCCCGATGACGATTCGGAATCGGACGATGTGCTGGCGCTCGAGGATGAGGACGGGGACGACGACGAGGACAATGCCATCGAGATCCCGAGCAGCTCGGACGAGGACGGCGGTGACCGACATGACGGCCTCTTCTCTAGCGCAGATCCAGATCTCCAGAGGCTTCTGTCTGAGCATCGGACTCGCCTTCGCATCAAGACCAAGAAGGAGAATTGCGCGTACCCGTATCCCAGCGCCGAGCTCGTGCCCATGGGCTTCGACAGCTACAGCGGGACTGACCTCGCAGAGCTCACCGATGTGGGCATGCCAGTCTTGGACCCCAAAGCGTTCGCGAAGTTGAACGCTAAGCTGAAGGCCGAGCGCATCGAGAAGCAGAAGGCCGCCAAGGCTATGAAGGCCAAGTCGCCCGTGAAGGCCAAGTCGCCCATGAAGGCAACGACGGCCATGAAAACCAAGGAGCCTCCCAAGAAGCGTGCCCAGGGCGACGTGGCAGAGGCCAAGCGCCAGCACAGCCTTTTCTACCACCAAAAGTTGACCGAGTGTAGGAGGCAGGGCAAGAGCATTGATGTCTGCAAGGAGGAAGCGCGGGCCGCTGCCAACATAGGAATGGCGGAGTGGCGCGCGACCAGGGCTGCAGCCAGCAGCGCCCGATCAGATCGATTGGCTGAGCAAGATAGTTTCACGTTTTCAGTAGTGCGAGGGTCTCAATACACGTAGGGTTTCATAGCGCATGGGGCAGGGGTCTCCTGATGCTGTTTCGTTTTAGCTCGAGCTGACGGCAATTCATTTTGACGAGTCCGCAAGGGCGCTGAGATCAAGCCCATGCTCGCGGGGAGGCAACGGACCGCTGACCATCATAATCAGCATCATCATCATCACCATCTCCATCATCGTCCTCCTCATCCTCCTGCTGGCCCTCCTCGTCCTCATCCTCATCCTGAGCGAGTTCGGGATCGGGCCTTGGGCCGAAGCGTGGACCCCTGATGCCTTCCCGCGCGGTGGCGCGTTGATAACCGCGCTTCGACTGCTCCGTGGGAACCCTGGATCATGCAAGCACTGGTTGGGGAGATCGGCGGAGTCCCGAAAGGTCGAAATAGGATCTCCCTGAGCCCGACGATATACATATCACTATCGTGATGGCCACCCTTATCGTGCTACCCTAAATTCCATGAGAGTACTTCCTGTCATCCGTGTCTTCAGTGGAATTCCCTCAGGGGCCAGATCCTCGTGAGTAGTGCGTTGACGTTGACATGCAAAGGGCACAGGTGCGGATAGGATGACGGAGAGAGGGGCGAGGAGGAGGTGGAGGAAAGCGAAGCCGTTCAAAGCGAGGACCCAACGCCGCATGATGGTTGGGGAACAAAAGAATGAGCCAATTCAACACCCACGACAACAATTGCAGAGCATCGATTAGTGGCAACAGAAACGACCAGATCCGAAACGAAACGAACCGTCCGCGAGTTTTGGCCCAAGACTGCCTTTCCTAGCATACCACGCTCAGTCGAGGGATGTCCGACCTAGAGTCCCAAGATTTAGAGAGCCCGTCAAGGTACAATGCTCACATGGCGGCCCGAGATGTTCGAAACGAACCTCCTGCTGACACTCCTCCGCCAGCTCCGTGCCCACAGACCTCTTTGGCGCCAGAATCGATTGTCGTTCCTGAGGAATCAGAGACTGAGCAAGGCGAGCCGAACAAGCCACAGCACTTAGTCATAGTCCAGAACTTGCAGGAGATGCTTCTCGTACTGCAATCATGGCGGCTCGAGCCAGACAAAGCCGATTCCAAGTACTTAGCCCAGGCCTTCGAGGGGAAAGCCGATCTCGAGTTGAAGGCAACGCTGCTCATGACGAGATGCGAGTCCCCCGATCTGAACCCTGAGTCGACAGCCGCTGACGACACCATGACAGAGTACAATCATAGTGCCGACGAGTATGAGGAGCTCGCAGTCATTTTTTTCCAGCGTGAAGCCAGAGAAAGTTCCCAAGACAGCCTAGTTGTGGGCCAACCTTGCATCGTGCCTTCGAGCTACTCTCATTGTTTGAGCCATGCCCGTTGGACTTGCTTGCAAATGAATATGTGTGAAAAATCTGCCCCTACGACCGCAATTCTTTCGGGGGGTACCGTTCCCATCCACCCCCCGTGCCAGCTGAAACTCGCCTCTACTGTCTCGAGTTGGTTTCGAGTTGTCTTCGGAATGATATAGGGGGAGCGGGATTCACTTGTGCGTTCCCCCTCTGCTGGGGCCACTCGCTTTGTGCGGTCCTGGGCCCGAGGAGTCCTGGGCCCGAGGGCCTCGGTCGACCTGAGGAGTCAGGAAAAACTACTTCTGCTGCTTTGCTTCATGATTTTGACTGGGGGAGGGGCTTTATTTTGTGTTCCACTTCCGATTCCCTCCATCCTCGCCCTCCGATTCCGATTCCCTCCATCCTCGCCCTCGCATCCGTCCTTCTTCATCGTCCTCCTCATCTTCCCTGCCCCGCCCCCCTTCTTGCGGGTGGATCCACCTTTCCACCTGCCGCGGTGCTCTCGGCGGCCCCAGCCCGAAAGGGTATGCGGCCCCGTCCCGCTGTTACGCTTTGGAGGGGGGTGAAGCGAGCGAGCAGACAGATCGGGAGCAAGAGGAAGCCAGCAGCACACGCGACACACAGAGGACGCACACAACACACACACACACACAACAGAACACAGAACACACACACACACACAACACACACAACACACACAACACACGCACGCACGCACACTCTCTTTCGAGCCTGGGACCGAAAAAAAAACAAAAAAAAAAAAAAAACAAAAAAAAAAAACTCTGGCTTTGGTCCAAAACCATTGCAAAAACACAGTCAAAACAATAAAAACAGAAAGAAAAAAAAGAATTCTAGGTTTTTTATGTGTTGTATGTTTCTTCCTGTCTGCTCTGTTCGTTCTGTCAGATCATGGTTTGTTCTGCCGCAGTCTGCGACATTCTCTCGCGCTCTAGCCCGTAGGCACTCTGGCTCGAGGCAAGTTCGGTTTGAGCCAATCTTCCGAAGGGGTCCACCTACTCTTCTGCCAGCATGGCCCCCAAGAAGGCCAAGAAGGTCGACCTGAGCCCCCGTGCGAAACCAGTTGTGTCGGAGGCTGACCTTCAGCAGGCTAAGACGGCGTTGCAGGACGAAGGAGAGAGAAAGCGGGCGAGGTCATCGCTCAAGTATTGGCTCGAGGAGAAGGGGCAGCACAACTCCTTCAAGAGCGTGACGACCGCCGAGAAGAAGGAGTTCTTGGAGGCGCACTGGGCCACCAAACTGAAGGAGAGGGCAGGGAAGTACGCGAGGACCAGCACAAAGGAGCACACCTTCGCCGACAAGGAGGCGCACCTGTTCCAATGGATGGGGAAATTCCAGATGCAGCAGGTGCTAGGAGAGCAAAAAGCTCAGAATAAAACCGACAGCGGCAAGCTGATTACGAGGCCCGACCCCGACACGGGCAAGGAGGACGAGTGGTCGATCGAGTACAGAGTGTACCAGGACGGCGGAGGCAACGAGGAGCACCGCATGAGAGGCGAGAAGCCTGAAAACAGCAAGGACGACCTGGACGAGACTGCAGCGAAGGAGGCTGACGACTTCATGCAGGAAATGTCCTCACACATGGGTTCTGGCTCGGGCTCTGCATCGTCTGGGGAGCCGCTCGTCAACGTGAAGATCGAGAAGACAGGCGGCGATGCGCCCGCCGAGCCGCCGAACCCCCACAAAACCACTTTCGATAAAATCAAGGCGAACATCAAGTCCGAGATCCGTGTTCAGGGAGATCGCTTGATGAAGCTCAAGTAGATCTTCGAGAAGACCAAGACGGGCAAGTACGTGCAGTCCCTCAACGACGACGTGAGCAAAATGATCCCGAAGATGTCCAAAGCCATCAAGACCATGGAGAGGGTGTTCTTGCAGAAGGGCGATGACGACATCGACGACGCAATGATCCTGGCAGTCGCGAAGCAGGTGGATGAGGCTAGCTTGAACTACGATGCCGTCATCGATTGGGCCAGGCGCCTCATCACCGACAAGAAGAGGAAGAAGTGAACTCGATTGCCTTACCCTGTAAGCCTTCCATCGGGAGGTACTTCGCCTGATAGCTTCTGCTGGGCCAGGCAACGCGACTAGCTTTTGCTAGACACAGGGTAGCGCTACGCAGTAGCGCGATGCAAAAAATACAAAATCCAGACCCTCCCAAACCGCCCCAAGAGAACTCCAAGAGCGCCCCTGGAGGCCCCCAAGAGACCCCTGAAAGAGCCCCAAGAGAGGCTGGTGGGGATCCGCGAAGCGTGAACAATACAAAGCACACAACGCAACACACACACACACACACACACAACAGACACAACACACACACACACAACACACAACACACATAAAAAGAACACACACGACACACACCGCAACTACGAACAAGTACAATGGCCATCCAGCAACGTCGACGATGAGGATATCACGCACGAGCAAGACGAAGCCCTAGGATCAAACCGCGCAACGTTTGCCTTAAATCATTTCGTTTCGGGAACCTGGATGTCTTCAAATAAACTGCGGTTTGAGAAAGGGCCCTTGGTGGCCCGAATTCGGGCGGCGAACCGGTGTCAAACATCTCGCTGGTATGTTTGAGGCCCCGTCGAGCTCAGATTCAGAGGGCCCTAGTCATTGAGAAATAGCATCCGATCGTGGTCGGCTGCCGCTCCACCGCTCCCGAGGCCACCCCAAGGTTCCAACAAAAACTGGCGTTTATGTTGTACCCTTCGCTCCTGCTAACTTTTTCGGGCAACCCACGCGGGAGCGATTGCTATGTCATGAGCAGAAGAACCCAACTCAGCATCATTCATAACCCCTCCCCCTCCCAAAAAAAACGAAATACAAGAAGGAATGATAATCACTCGGTCCTCGTGCATTCTTCGTGGACTCCTGCGCCATACGATTCCCCATCCTCCAATTCGATACCATCTCCCCCACGTCCGCAGCCGTTTTGGCATTACGTGGATTCGGCACGTTTCCATACATATCTTTGTGATCGTACCTGTTGCGATTGTTTCATGTTGCTTCGCATTCAGTGCCATCAGTGATGGGGTTACAATCTCAATGTCGGAGGGCCGTAAAGGGAGCTTGAAGCGTCGAGTCTGTGACACTCCTTCATCCAAAGGTTTGCAAGCGATCGCTTCTGATGAACAGCGTTCTGGGAGCCTTCGCAAACGAGTCCGTGCTGAGAGTTCCAATCGCGCAGAGTCTTCCTCAAGCCTCCCGTTTAACACATGCATGCGAAGATATTGGGCCAAGGGTGAGCTTCCGTCTAACCGTCTGCTTGAATACTGCCAAGCAGCTTCAAATCAAGGCGCGACGAACGTGATCAGAGTCTCAGAGAAATGGAACTCCAAGACAGCCCATCGTGCTGTGATTTCAGCTCTGGGCTGGCCTGAGCATGCACCAGACATCACGTGGATTGATATTCCGATCGGCCCAGAAGGGAAGCTCAAGAGCCATCCAGTCATTTGCCCTGTGCAAACGTTTCAACGCCTCGCTCATCATCGCAAGCCTTTCTGGAAACAGCACTTTGGATGTAATGGTACTGCCTGTATGGAGTTTTGGAAATCGTTGGATGGTCACCCGATCGCTGACAGGCACCCCGCCTTGAGAGCAGCGGACATGCCAAAAACAATTCCTGTAGGGATGCACGCAGATGGGGCGCCAATAACAAAACACGATGGGTTGTTCACTCTTTCGTGGAATTCTCTATTGCCTTCTGGTACGACACTGGAGACCAGGCTGGTATTCACGTGCATCAAGAAATCAGACATTGGCCCAGGCACGGTCGATGCCATATTCTCGTATTTTGCTTGGGCAATGAATGTGCTTTCGAGTGGCGCTACCCCAACGCATGATTGGAAACATCGTCGCTTGGATGGTGGAGGTCAGTATCTCGTTCCAGGAGGCTGGAGGGCAAGCCTGATTCAATGCCGAGGCGACTGGGAGTTCTATGCGAACTACTTGGGCTTGCCACGCTGGGATACTGACAATTGTTGCTGGCTCTGTAAGGCGAGCTTGAGCGATGAACGGCTTCTTTGGACAGACACATCGCCAGACGCCCCATTCAGAAGAACATTGAGGTCGCATGAGAGCTTTCAGGCAGAACTCTCAGATGCAGGGAAACAACCTTCGCCGTTGTTCAATATCGTTGGCCTTCGGCTCGATGGGATCATGATATGTACATTGCACACCGTGGAGCGGGGGGTTGCAAGCCACGTCATCGCGAACAACATGGTCGATGCCATGAAGACGGGCTGCTACGGACCCAATCAAAAAATACAGGCAGAACGCATGGCACGCGAGCTCAAAGATTGGTATCGCGAGCAGCCCAAAGAGATCAAATCTTCTAAGACCCAAGGCGAACTGACATACGAGCGTATCAAAACATCATCGGATTGGCCGAAGCTGAAGGCCAAAGCAGCCACGACTCTGCATATGAGCAGGTTCGGGCTTCATCTTGCCAGAAAGCACAATTCTGGAAGCCTCCATGATAGGAGACGGTTGCTGGTTGCTGAGATGTTAGTGCAATTCTACGACATAGTGGAGAAGGGACCCGATGTGTTGACGCCAGAACACTTGGAACGTTTGACTCGTTGCTCGGATCTCTTGCTTTCTACATACATCGCCCTCAGCAAGGAGAGCCTGGACAAGAATGAGAAAATGTGGAAACTAACACCGAAATTCCACTTGTTCTGGCATCTCGGGCACACCCAGTCGGCGTTCAGAAACCCTAGAACGTTTTGGACATATGCGGACGAGGACCTCCAACGACAGGTTGCCGACATCTCGAGGATGTGTCATATGAGCAACATGGCGCCAATGATCCTTCATAAATGGGTCGTTATGTTGTGGGACGTTGTTGCGATGCAGGAATAGCTACGCAAGGAAAGTTGACCTTGTGGCATCAGCATCAGCATCAATCCCAACCCGTCCCATGGATGCCGCCTTCCCCGGTCTGTCCTTGCTTTTCTCGCTTTCCTCCCTCTCCTGGTCGTAGTCGTCCTCCTCCTCATTGTCCTGATCCTCGTTCTCGTCTTCTTCCCCCTCCTCCCTCCTCCTCCTCCTCCTCCTCCTCCTCCTCCTCCTCTCCTCCTCCTCCTCCTGCGCCTCCTCCTCCTTTTTCTGAGTCTTGTAAGAGTGGTCTAGTGTGACCGTACTAGAATTGGGATCCTATAGGCCATTCGATGGGCAATCTCGGGACATTCCGAGCGGGACTTAGGCCTTGGGACCGTACATAGCGATATTCCTCAAAATGGGCCACTGTAGGGACGGGCTTGGCATCGGGGTGTCTACCAACAGATGTTGAAACATTATTTCGGGTACGATGGGATAAGACCAGCGTAGGCTAACAGAACGCCAGGCGTAGTGGTATACCTTCACGTTCGAGCCACACGGCAAGGAGGAGGGAGGAGGGAGGAAGGAGGAGGAGGAGGGAGGAAGGGGGGGGAAAGGATGAGAAGCTTGGGGAACACCAACGATTCGCAGACGACACCCTGCACAGCGCTACTGGCACAAATCACGCCCTTGTTCCCATTTTTGATAGTGGGAGATGTAACGTGTGCTACTTTTTTCATATGGTACCAAAAATGTGTGTCATGTGGGTGGTTGGGGTAGGGGAACGAAGAATGAAATAAACATAAAAACTCGAAGGTCCACGCGGATTTCTCGGAGCGGCGCTGGATCCCCCTGGCGGCGCCTCCGGCGCCGCCCCTGGCGCGCTCCGCGCGCCAGGGAGGGGGATCCAGCGCCGATCCAAGAAATCCGCGCGGACCTCCGAGTTTTTATATTTATGCCATTCTTCGTTCCCCGAGACACTGCCTACCACGGACGGCCCGACCACCCCGGACAAAGCCTCCCGAAGATGGCCTCCCTCAAAGTCTTCGCCGGTCTGGGCGGCCCCAGCCGCGCGGCCCGGAGGGCACGAGGGGCCCAGAAGACTTTTGATTCGCGGGTCGAAGCTAAGCTTCGAGATAAGCGCACAGCTTGAATTAACAAAGAGGAGGGGCAGAAGGAGGGGCCTCGAGGGGCCCAGAAGACAAGGGGAAGAGGTTCCAAACGTGGCCGTGAGAGCCCAGGACGGCCAGACCACAAGAAACCTTCCACACCAGAAAACCCAACCCTGGGACCCCAGGGCGTCCCTTGATTCTTGGTGTGGGGACGTCACGCTTTCCACGGCAGAACCATCGAAACCCAAGAAACCCGGGTCACCCTGGAGGCGAGCAGGGTTTCTTGGCATGGGTCCCCGCTGTAAGAGCCCAGGACGACCGATGGTGGTCCCAAAATGCCTGTGAGATGGCCCAGGAGGACTTCAGGACGCACCCCAGAGGGCAGAGCACACTGAGAGACGATTCCAATGCTTCTGGCGTGTCCCATGCCCTTTTTCCCAAGAGGTCAAAAGATCACGCCATGAGGGACCACAGAGCCCCCGAGATTGCCCAGGCCCCAAGGTGTCCCCAACAGGCCCCACGATGCCGCCCAAATCGCCCAGGATGGCCCCAAAGATGGCCCCAATATGCCTACAAGATGACCCCAGAGACCTCAAGTTAGCCCCGAGATTGCCAAAGATGACCCGAAGGTGGCCGCAAGGCCCCGAAGGCCCCAAGATGCCTCTGAAAGGCTCCGTGATGGCTCCAAAACTGCTCCAATATAGCGACAAGATAGCTCAGCCTGGAGGCGCAGCCCTTCTGACAGATACCCGTGCGCAGTGGCGTTGGAACACGCACTGAGAAATACATTGAAGCACAGACACCTTCCAAGGGCTTACTTGTACACTGTAAATGCGGCGGGGACACTAATGATGATAGTGGTAGCGGTCGTGATAGTGAAGTGGGAGTGATAGTGGTCGTCGCAATGGAAGTAACATCAACCAAAGCAAACAGGGAAGGACACACACGTGCGCCTTGCAGCGTCGCCGGTGTCGCCGGCTGCCTGGCTGCCGCCGAAGGGAGCAGCGTTCGCTTCCACCATCCATCCATCCATCCATCCATCCATCCCTGCCTCATCTGCCTCTGCAC